GTGTGTGTGTGTGTGTGTGTGTGTGTGTGTGTGTGTGTGTGTTGAGGGAGGGGTGGGTGTGTAGGTGTAGGCGTATATGGCTGGCTTGGTGTAGGGATGCGCTTAATGTGAGGGCATTCGTGTTCGGGGCCGAGAGGCCGGCTGGTGCTCTGAAGCGATTCGTCCGGGCAACAGTCGTCTCCGGTGCCGCGGCAGCAGCTCCTGCCACCCACTGCCTCCCCTGACCACCCTCGATCATGGCTGTGGCATGCCTCGTCGACCACGCTCACCCCAAGACCCTCCCTGAACAACCCCTCCCCCCCCCCCCAAAGGCCCGCCTGCCCCAGGCGGTGGTGGACGAGATCACGGCGGCGCTGGCTGCGGTGCGCGAGGCCTCCGGGGGCGAGGACCTGGCGCTGCTGCGGGAGCGCATCGGGGCCCTCAGCACCGCCAGCATGAAGATCGGGGAGACACTCGCACAGCAGTCGGGCTCGGGCGGCAGCGGCAGCGGCGGCGGCGACTCCAGCAGCGGCTCGGGCTCCAGCGGCGGCGGCGCGGCGGGCGGCAGCTCTTAGGCGCAGCGCGTTGACGCGCGGCGAGGCGTGGCACTCCCCATGGGCGCGCCCGCAGACAGCGGCCGGGTGGGGGGAGGGCGAGGAGGGCCCCGCGGGCACGATGTTGGCTGAGCGCAGCACAGGCGGCGCAGGCGGCCGCGCGCCTGCATGGCTGCGCAGAGCTGGGTCCAGGCCACCCTGCCAGTCGTGGCCACGCGGCCGGGGGTCCCCCATACCCGGCCTCCCCCCTAATATCTACTCCTGTCGTTCCCTGAATTTGGCCTTTTCACCCTCTTCCCTTTGCGAGCGGCGCGCGCTGCTGAGTTGTGTATGTTGAGCAGGCATGTGCGTGTGTCGCTGTGTTCATACAAGCGTAGGGCTGACGGGACTGGCGGCGCGTGCCCGGCTAGAGCTGGGCGGCTGCTGACCATGATACGTGCTGTCAGTGAGTGGGACGGTAACGGCCGTGCGCTGTAACGCTCAACCTCCCGGTTGTCTCAAGCCACGATTGTGGATGGAGGCGTACGGCTGCCGTTGTCAGCTCTCCTTTACGCACGCAAACGGTCGGCGGGGTTCACCAACCGATCACAGAGTCGGCGCTTCAGGCAGTACGTGGCACGTAAACAACGGGTCGGCAGGCGGGCTGCATGTCTCAACCAAGCTGATTGATGCAGCAGCTGCAGAGGGGAAGAACTGGGAGGTTGCCCTGACTCCCCTGACCGCTGCCCTATGCCGTTCTCGACACTGTGGTGGGCACACATCACGCGGTCTCGACATGTCCAGAAAGCATTAAGGGTGGCGCTCCGTTACAGCGCCGCTGCCCCACAGGGGCCGCGTCCAGCCATCCAGCCCACACGCGTGCGCCGGTCCGCAGTAATGTACACGAGAGCCCCGCCATTGTGGAGGCAACCGCCCGCCGCGCCGCGCCCCGCCGCGCCATTGAGAGCCAGGCCCACCGCCGAGCCTTCGCCCACTGCCTCTGGGGGCCTGCCCAGCCGCTGTCCACGGCCCCCTATGCTGCCGCTGCTGCCACCATCGCCGTCGCCGCTGCTGCTGCCGCCGCCGCCGATGCGCCGCCGATGCGTCACATCATGGCGTACTTGCGCGTCCACTCCCGCGCGGTCTCCTGGAGGATTCGGAAGCGGGTTGTGCGGATGGAAAGAAGACGCGCACGGCAGCGAGTGAGAGCACTCCGGTGAGGCGTGACAAAGGGGCCATGCCCAGCAAAGCGCCGTGCACCCTTGGGAGCCACGTCAACATGGTGATGGCCAGCCGGTGCAGGGTGCTGATACGGTTGCGGTCCCAGGCCGCACCTCGTATCTGTGGCGGTCGCTCTTGTAAATGTGGGCGATCTCCGGCACCAGGGGGTCGTCGGGGTTGGCGTCAGTCAGCAGTGAGCTGATGGACAGCAGCACCTGGGGCGGGGCGGTTCCAGGGGAGGCATGATGAGGCACGGATGGGTACCACAATTGCAGCTGCGTGCGCTTGCATTTCTGCGTGCAGCCTGGTTGCAGCTGCGCAGCCTGCGAGCTGGACCCTGCGGCGCGCCGCGTCCTCGCCTCCTTGCAAACCGCCGACAGCAAAACCGCCACGCCGCCCGCGGCGCTCGTCCCTCCGTAGTGTCACCAAAGCAGCCAAGCCTGCTTCTACAGCAAGTCAGCGTAGCGCGCCTTCGCATCGAGATGGCCGCCCTCCCTGCGCTCTACCCCCTTCAGCCACAAACGCACACACCTTTGAGATGGTGAGTGCGGGGCTCCACTGGTCCTTGAGGATGTCGAGGCAGATGGATCCCTGGCTGTTGACGTTGGGGTGGTACACCTTGGTCTGGAACGCCACCTTCGGGGGCTTGAAGGGGTAGTCTGTGAGGGGGGGGGGGCAGCGCACAGGAGAGGGGGGG